ACTTTTGAATCAGGTTATTTGTTCTGTTTTATTTTGCTATTGAGTTACATAGCTTCTATATAAATATTAGATATTAAAGCCTCTCTTTACGTGTGTGTGTGTGTGTGTGTGTGTGTGTGTGTGTGTGTGTGTGTATGGAGAGAGATATAGAGAGAGAAAGAGAGAGAAAGAAAGATCCTGACACAAAAATACAAATGCTACATGATCTATTTGTATATATAGAGAGATACAATATGTAATATGTAAGTATACATAGTTTGTATACATCCAAATATCTAAAATCCAAATCTTCAGGCAAAAATTCCAAAGTCCAAAAATCTCTGAGATCTGAAATACATTTATTCACAAACATTTTATATAAGGGATATTAAAAACAGAAGTTCATTGGATTAGACAAAGGGGAATGAAGGAAATGGAGGGAGAATGGGCATAAGAAAGACAGTAGAATGAATCAGACATAATTTTTCCTATATTCACATATGAATACATGACCAGTGAAAACTCCACATCATGTACGACCACAAGAATGGGATCCTAATTAGAACTTATACTCCATGTATATATGTCAAAATATAACCTACTCTATGTATATATAAGAAAGAACAAATAAAATAATTAAAAATTAAAAAAAACAAACAAACTATGTTTCCTGCTATTACATAGGTTGCCTTTTTACTCTGTTGATTGTGTGGAACCTTTTTAGTTAGATGCAGCCCTAATTATTTTGTTGCCTGTGATTTCTGGGATCATGTTCAAAACATCATTACCCAGACCAATGTCAAAAATTTTTTCCTCATGTCTTTTTGGAAATCTTTTATGGAAGCCATATATGTAAGTCTTTAATCCATTTTGATTAATTTTTGTATATGGCAAAAAAGAATGGTTTCATTTCATTCTTCTGCATGAAGATGACAGTTTTCTCACTAAAATTTATGGAAAAGATTATTCTTTCCTATTGTGTCTTTGCACTCATGTGGAAAAATAAATTGACCATAGATATGTGGATTTATTTCTGGGCTTCTAATCTTCTGTTTGTATTTGAGTATCATACTGTTTGAATTACTGTAGAACTRTACTGTAGAAAAAAAAGGATTGTGATCCTCTGCTTTGTTTTTCTTTCTCATATTGCTTTGGCTATTTGGAGTCCTTTGTAGTTGCATATGAATTTTAAGGATTCTTTTTCTATTTCTGAAAAGAATGTAGTTGGGATGTTACATTGAATCTGTATATCACTTTGGGTAGTGATGAACATTTTTAACAATATTTAATTTTTCCAATCCATAAACACAGTTGACTTTTATCTGTGTCCTCTTTTATTTCCTTCACTAGTATTTTATAAATTTAAGCACATAAATATTTTGCTTATTTGGTTAAATCTATTATTAAGTATTTCATAACTTCCTTTCCTATTAGGGGGGATTTTCCACTTTTGGTGTTGTGGATCAAACATGGGGCCTCATGCATGTTAAGCACATGCTCTACCATTGAGCTATGCTCCAGACTTTCACTGCTACTAAGAATTGGATTTTTTTTTAATTATTATTTTTCAAAGAATAACTCATTTACATGACTGATCTTTGGATGCTAATTTTATACCTTACAAAATTTTAAATTATTTAGTAGTTCTAACAGTTTATTTTTGTTTAATTTTTAGAGTTTCCTATATAGATAATCATGTCATTGCAGATATAACTTTACTTCTTCCTTTATAATTTGGGTGATTTTTATTTATTTTTCTTGTCAAATTACTATGTAGGTAGGACCTTTAAAACTATATTGAATAGAAGTAGCAAAAGTAAGCATCCTTTGCTTGTATCTGGTCCTACCAAAAAATAATTCAGTTTTTCCCCACTGACTATGATGTTATTGGTGATTTTTCATAAATGGTCTCTATAGCATTAAACTCCTTATAAATGTATCTGGTTGAACATGTTCATAAATAGATTTATACTTTATCAAATGCTTTTCAATGTCTTCTGAGACAAAAATATTTTTATCTTTTTTTAAAACTAATGTATATTATGGATTGACTTGCATATCTTGAAATATCCTTGCATTCCAGGGACAAATCCCATTTGGTCTCACTTAAATATTCTATTGAATTCAGTTCGGTAGAGTTTCATTGAGAATTTTGGCAACTTTGTTCATCAAGGGTATATTAACCTATAACTTTCATTTGTTGTATCTTTGGTATGTTYCCTTAGTAAAGAAAAAATCTTTTGAGAAAGACTGGCATTGATTTTTTTTTTTTTGAAAATTTGTTATGATTAACTTGGTGAAGTACTTTGTCTTGGGATTTTTTGTTTCTCTGCTTTAGACAGGACCTTATTATGTTACCTAAGCTAGCCTCAAACACATAATTATCCTGCCTCACCCTCCTGAACAGCTGAGGTTATAGGCATATGTGCTACCATGCACACTTCTTGGGGAATTTTAATTTACCGATTTCATCTCCTTTCGTTATTAGTCTGTTGAGGTTTCAATTTATCCTTGATTAGATTTTGGTTGTACAMTCCTAGGCATTTACTTTTCTTCTAGGTTATGAAATCTGTTGGCATATAATTATACGTGATCTTTTTTATTTGTGAGGCATTACCTTTCACAACTATTGAACTTTGCAAGTTTGTCTTTAACTAGCATGCTGAAATAGATGAACTAGAGTTCATATTAAGTCCATCTTTGGAGATAATCTTTTTTTTTTTTTGGTCCTGGGGATTGAACTCAGTGGTACTCAACCACTGTGCTACATCTTCAGCCCAATTTTGTATTTTATTGAGAGACAGGGTCTCATTGAATTGCTTAGTGCCTCACCATTCCTGAGGATGGCTTCGAACTCGCAACCCTCCTGCCTCCTGAGCTGCTGGTATTATAGGCATGCACCACCATGCCTGGCTTGGAGACAATCTTAAGTTGTTAACAATTTTGTTTCCTACCTTCCATTTCTATGTATAGAGCAGATGCCTCATATRTATCTAAATTATTTCAATATAATAGCTGTGAAAACTTTTAATTTTAATAATAATAATATTAAAAAGAGTGAGATTCCACTGCCATCTTAATTTTTTTTACATAGATTATTTCCCCATTTGAACAGATTGTGTGTTTTTCTTTTTTTTTTATTATTAGTTGTTCAAAACATTACAAAGCTCTTGACATATCATATTTCATACATTTGATTCAAGCAGCTTATGAACTCCCATTTTTACCCCGTATACATATTGCAGATTCACATCGGTTCCACATCCACTCTTTTACATACTGCCATACTAGTGTGTTTTGTATTCTGCTGCCCTTCCTATCCTCTACTATCCTCCTCCCCTCTCCTCCCCTCCCATCCCATCTTCTCTCTCTACCAATTCTACTGTAATTCATTTCTCTCTCTTGTTTTTTTTTCCCCTTTCCCCTCACTTCCTCTTATATGTAATTTTGTATAACAGTGAGGGTCTCCTTCCTTAAAACACTTTCTTAGAGTGAGCCCAAGATGAGAGAKATGATTAGTTACTCCTTTAATAAGTCTTTGTTCCCAACTGTATTTCCTATTATTCAGTTTTTAATTCTAATGCATAAAGTACCTAATATATTTAGTGACTCTTAAATGAAAATCCACAAATTTATCTGATACACAGCATAAAAAAAAGTTATCAATCAACTATATTAACCTTGTTGAAAACTCTACAACATTTATAGGCAATTTAATGGGTTTTTAGTGAGCCAAACCAAATGTTATAAATGTGTATATATTTTAGTCATGTTTGTTTTTTAAGAGGCTAAGATCTTAATGAGAGGTTAAGACTTTTGTTCACATCTGCCTATCTAAGTTCTAATATTAATATAATTGTATAATTAAAATTATATAAATATATTTTTATAAAATGTCTAAATTTTTGTCATTACTTGAAGTTCTTTTATATACTTATGAGTCTTTTGGTTGTTGTTGTTTTTTTGTGGTGGTGCTGGGGATTTAACCTAGGGCCTTGTGTGTGGGTTGGCAAGCACTCTATCAACTGAGCTACATCCCCAGATACCTTTTATATATTTATATATGTATGTATATAAACATACACATATATRCAATAAATATATAAAAATAAAATTTTAAAAATACATGGGAATTTTTAGTAGTATTGGTAATTCCTTCTTTTCTATATTAAATTATAATAATATATACATAAAATTTCATTTGTRTATATGACTCAATACATATATACACAATACACTAAAATATGGGATTTAATATATATACCCTTTATTGATTAAAATACAAAAATATAAAATTTAGATTCTATACATTATTTATAGTAAATACATGAAATTTAATAGCCTGAGTTTTGTTCATTCTTTTCTTTTGAATTCCAAGATTTCTGTACTCTTTAAATTTGTACCTGATCCTTGATAATAATTTTCCTTGACCTAAGAAATCCCTTTTTATCCTAACATATCTTTACTTAATGTGTAGGATCTTCACTGCATCTTTTTCTCATTCTATTTGCATTAATTCAATACCCTTGTAATTTCATTTATCCAAATATCTTAGGAAAGGTCTTAAAATGGAGTGAGAATAAATCTAAATACATATATTTTATTTGCACAGTTAAACTATCAGAACACAATTAACTCTACAATTCTGTTTTGAAGTACTATTTGTAAATAAAATAATTCAAATGGAAAACAAAATGCCTTCAGAATATAAAAAGAAAAAGATTACTAAATTCCCCCTCACACAAACACACACAATACATATTGTAAGAATAAAGAAGTTAAAACTAAAGCATTGCAAGGGAACCTACAATAAAGATATTGGAGGCAGATGTATTGTACTCTTTATGGCTATTTCAGAATAGCAATGTGAATGTGAGCTATTGGCTGGGTAGTACACAGAACTTCATTAAAGAGAACTCAATAATATCAATTAGAATAAAAACTGTTAAGTGAACATCTACATCTTAAGTTTTCTTGGCAAGGACTTGCTTCCTTATATATGGAATTAAACTACTGAATACTTACCTTCTAGGATGATTAGCATCAAACAAGGTGTTATCATCATCCTCATCATCTTGTTCTAGAGGTGTTAATTCCATGTTTTCTATGTTTGTGTCCAAAACTCCGTATCTCCTGGTTTTTCGGTTTCTTCTTCTCATCCTACAAAGTACGCAAATTAATGAACAAAAATTATTTTAATATAGGATAGATGATCCTTAGTTTATATTCTAAATTTAAAATAAATAATCCCTACGTGTCTGACATAGGAGGCACTCAATACATAGATGGTTATATTTCAAGTATATAATTCACACCAAGGATTACTTATGATTCATTAAACAAAATGTATTCCTATGATTGTTTCCATGACTGACATACTCTTTTTTGTCACTGACAACTGGTGGTGTTGATAGATAATTTTCTAAATCTTAGTTCAGGTACAACTTTACCAAAGCCTTCTATTCCAGCTTTGCTCCATATCTTCTTATCATTATATAGGATTAGGTATTTTTTGCAACATTAAGAAACTGTATGTATACATATATACTCAAATTCTAGACTGGTAGCTGGCAACATATCACAGGCTACACATCAGAATCACCTAGTGTCCATTAAAAAGTAGCATGCTCAGGACATAATTGCATTCGAATTTTCAGGAATAGGAATTAAGCATCATTATTTTATTAAAGTTCTACAAGTGATTCCAATGTGCTGAAAAGTTCTATCCTAAACCAGTGGTTCTTAAAGTGTGTCTCTCTGGATCCCCAGAACCATACTAACCAAGAAATTTATAAGAAATAAAAATCTTTATGCTCAACATAGACTTAAGAGAACAACAAACTTTGAAAAGAGGGGCCAGAAAACTGCTTTTTTAACAAATACTTCTTGTGATTTTGATGCATGCTGGAATTTGAGAAATAGTGCCCTAAAGTAATGAAAATATTAGGATACTAAATATAATTATTGTCAGCTGTGTATATGAAAGGGTTTCATAAAATAGAGTTCTATTGTTTCTCTTACAATACTTTTTTCTTTTCCTTCAAATCATTTAGCTCAATTTGCATTCATGTGGGTATATGTTTATGTGGGTGTTGATTTTTCTGTCTCTCCCATTAAGTTCCATGAGGGGAGCAACTATACTTGCTTTATTCACCATTATATAATCACAACATACATATAGTTAAGATGCTTTTAAAATATTTGTTGAGGGTTTGCATGACAAATTGAGTGGCACCAACTTCAAAGATAAGCATTTTCAAACACGACATGTGAGCCCCTAGAAGATAGTGTCCTACATATACATGCATACATATATACATTCAACAAATACTTGAGAGTTTATAAGCACTGGGTAGTATACTAGCTTCTGGGCGCAACATGCCTGGTGTCAGAAATTTAAATGTATAAAATATTACTAGTCCTGGACAAAAAACTAATTTCTACCACACACTACCTATACAMCTATTTATATATCAAACAAAGGTAACCAAAGGTGAAAGAACAAAAACCAAGTGGATGTAATTGCTTAAGTATCTAAAATAAGGCAGTGTGAAGTTTATGCTAGCCTTATATAGTGAAAAATTAAATAAATTTAGATTAATATTAATATGTATATGAATGTATATGTGTGTATGTAGGTGTGTCTGTGTGTGCATACCTATACATACCTTGTGATCAGAAGTCTAAACTTTTTCTGTTAAAGGACTGATAGTAATTTTGGTTTAATGGGCCATATATATTTTCTGTCATATATTTATATAACTTTTCTGTTTCGTTTACAATCCTTTAAAAATATTTAAAAAAATCCTTAGATATTTTGGGCTTCAAAAAACGTGTCAATGGACAGTACAGTCTATTTACCAACCTCTAACTGAGATTTACAAAATTAATTAACAGGAAAACCAACAGAAAGGGATAAAAGCATAGCCTCTGGAAAGAAGATTGAACTTTTTGTGCCAAATGATTTAATAATTAAGATGGTCCTTAAATATTTGTTGAGGGAGTGATGGTTTTCTGCTTTCCTTTGATTTAAAAAAGTGAATACACAGTAGAGACTGAAACCTTACTGCAACATTGGTTATGGATACTGAGAGTTATAATATCTCCTTTTTGCCAGTCTTTTGCTCACTTTTCTAAAACAAATGGCTTCCCAAATATTCTGGCATTTTTAGTCAAGAATTTAATGTCATATAAAAGAATTTATGGAAATATATTGGAWTATCCCAAGTCAATCTGCTAATAACTAGGCTATTGCTAGTCACAGGATATTTTGGCAAGTCTTAAAACACAGAAGGGCATAAACACAGAGTTTAAGGATTTTGTAAAAAAACTAATTTCAGCAAATCTTTTTTGCTACTCTAAAGGTCTTCATCATACCTAGAATTAATTGCTAATTTTCCAGTGAAAGCTCAAATCAATCTTAATAATAACACTGTTTTCTGTATTTCTGTATGGTGCACACATTTGACCATATGGTGTAAACATTTGATTGCATGGGTTTGTGCACTGTATTGTTTATTCTCGTCTATATTGTCAATATGTATATTATCTATATATTTTGTATTGTAGGTTTCTTTTTTGTAATCATGGGTATAAAATATATCTTCCAAACATGATTTTTTTAAAAAACAGAAACCTATTTCATATAAACAGGCAGAATATTGTTAAGCTTTAAATAAGTGGGGGACTCAGTTCAATTTAAATAAATTTAATATTTTAGWATATGTACTAATTCATACAAGAATGAATCAAATTATCAAACCAATGTATTATTAAGTAGAATTTAGAACTGATATGCTACTTCTTGAAAAGTGTTTTCCCTTAGTCCAAATAGGGAGAGATAGCTACATGGTCACGATAGCTACAGGACCATAAAACATTAAATACAACAAAACATATTTACTATCATATGCTGTGATTTTTTTTTCCTCAAGGAGGGTCAAAAACCCTTATAAAGTCTTAAAATTATTGTGCTAATCCAATGAGCTACTTAAAATACAAAAAAAAAGTAAAATATAATATACATCATCAAGAAAAAGTCTAATTTTATCTATTGATATACAGTGTATATTATTCTGAAACAAAAGAGTAAAGGGGGCTTTAAAATCTTTAATTTTCATAGCCATATTTTCTTTCTTACCAATAAATGTTTCACTAAGCTCAACTTGCCTGTATATGTGTTTATAATTATATATTTATTACCACATAATAATATGCATATTTTTCTATTTGACAGAATAAATACCTATCTAATATTAAAGTATATTTTGTGGTTCCCAATGAAGTATAAAAATAGGAAATTCATGTAACAAAATACAAGAAAGAATGTATGGAAGCCCAAAAGGACAAAAGATTTTAAAATCTAAACAGTTACTTACATTGAATTACATTCACCCAGCACATAGCATGCACAAAAGAATTATCCTGATCATATTCTTTCTAGATATTTGAGTTGGTAACCAAATACCTGTCTTAATATAGACAAATATTTCTTAATTTTCAACTACACTCAGCTTGGTCAGAACTATTTCCTGTTCTTACATGTAGTAATGATAGTATAAAAATAAAAGTACTAAGATAAGCTTGATAAAACTGTATATAAAAATTGTATGCCACATAAAATAAACAAAACAGAATAAGACTTCATTTAATTTTACTACTTTACGCAAGGAAAAAGTACAAATCAATGTAACTTGTTACAACTTGCTGTATCCACTGGAATTGACTCATACCTTTTGTTCCATTTGTYTTATTTTAATGGAATATATGTAGGGTATGTATTAAATATCAACAATATAAATAATAATATTCCTTAATTTACTCAATAACACATTCAACCTATACTGAAGAATATTAATTACACATACACGTTCTTTTGTATATGGTTAGACATGATAATAAAACAGGGTAAACCTCAATAATAAATATACAACTATTGATATAGAATATCTGTCTTGATTATTTTTATCRTAAAGTGACCAATAATGAATCTAATTATTGACCAAACAATAATTTGAAACTATAATTTTTGCCATAGTAATGTAGGTAAATAAGTTAGTGAGCTACAATTTTAGTTGTCTATGATTTTCATCAGGAAGTCCAGTCAAATTGGATACAAGATAAATAGTAAAAGTTATTTTTGCTAATTTGACATCTCTCTCATTTTTAGACCTCATTCTCATAACTCAGTCCATCAATTCYCAGTTCTAGTACTTCAGGAAGCAAACACTGATAAGAGATTAAAGCATTTTATGGGTTGAACTTTGCCTTTCAAATATTCATATTGAGGTCCTAACTCCCAGGACTGGAGAATGTGATCTTTAGATCACAACTTAAAGATAGTCTTTACAGAGGTATTCAATTAAACTTGGGTCATTAAGGTGAAACTTAATATATTATGTCTGGTGTTCTTATTAAAAAGGAAATTTTGAGACTACATGAATACCAAATGAATGACATGTGAGCRTGAAGAAAGGCCTGGAAGAGATTCTTCACTCATGGCCCTCATTTCAAACAACAGAAGTTTAACCCCATTTGTAAGACTTTCTTATAGCAGCTCTAAAAAATTAATACAGCATGCAAGATTTATTTATTACAGAAAAAACCTGTGAAGGATAGAGGGAAATAGAGAAGGCCAGAAGATACTATAGCAGATGATGCAGGTTTTAAGACCCATGAAAACTAGTGGGAAAGGATAACTGGGTAGTAAGATGTGCAGATTGTAATGCACTTCTGAAAGAGTTTTGATCAGGCCAATGGTGTGTCTTCAAGCARAGACTACCCATTAGCTGTCCCAAGTCAGTCAGGATAGCTAGATTTTGCTGCACTTAGTTACTGGCTGAGCAGATACCTAGGAATTATGATCTTGGCATTGATGCSGCAATGGATTAAAGACTGCAACAGATGGAGGCTGTCGGTCAACCATGCTTCCTGCAGTAGGTTATCCTAATATTAGGTAGGATTAATGTATTTCCATAGCTGCCACCAATTACAAGGCCCTATTGAGTGTACTTCCTGGGAATCACTGAAATTCTTTTATGTTGCTCCACCGTATCATTGTTATCATCTTTTCTCCTATCAAAACAGCATTCTAATTTACTACTTACACCAACTATGGCAACAAACTAAACTGCCCTTTATCCCCTCAAATCTTCAATRAG